CGCGCGCCGCCGCCCGAGCCCGGGGGAAGGAAGGGCGGCGCTGCCCGCCACGGGCGTCGCTCGTTCGTGGCCCCTGCTGCGGAGCGTCCAAAACACACAGCCGCGGCTGGGGCTGGGAGGCGGGGGTGGGGGGACCGAGGGCAGCTCGGGCCATCAATCACTCGCCGGGGCGGGAAGGGCGGCCCTTGGGCGCGGTGGGCAGGGCCGGGCCCAGCGGCCGCGGCGAGGCCCTCCTCGGTCCAGTGCACCGCTCCCGGAGGGGAAAAACACACACAAAACCCGATCGGCGGCCGGTGGTGGCGGAGCCGACTCGCCGGGGCCGGGTGGGGCGCGGAGCGCGCAGCGCGCGTGGGGGCCGGGCCAGCCCGCTCCCTGCGGCGCGCTTTCTTTGTGCCCTGGGGTCCCCCTGAACCTGTCCCCCTGCGGGAGGACGGTCTGGTGGCCCCTCACCTTCGGGGACTTTTCTTAGAAAGCCGGGAGACACCCCCCCCTCCACACACACATACACACTCGCGCCCCAGCACGCTACTCCCACGGGCCGGAAAACTTGTTAAACTTGGGTCAGATCCTCTCCCCCCCCCCCCGGGCCAGGGCGCAGGCTGGCCGAGGCCTGGCCGGGCGACCTTCCCTTTTGCACGTGGCTGCCCGGGGACAGAGCGCGGGCGAGCTCGGCGGCCTTGCACGCACCACCACGGGCGACCGGTGCGGTGGAGACGCATGTCCTGTCCACACCAGGCCCCTGGGAGGACCGGGTGTATGGAGCTTGGTGCCCCAGTGCAATGCCTTTTGAGATCCTTTTTTAAAAACAGCATTAATGTAATAAGGAATGCAATAAAAAAGAACAAAGGACAAATTGGTTCAATTGTTTAAGTTCTGTGTAATGTTTAAAAAAAAAACCAAAACCGCCCGGCTTCGGTCTGTAGCTTGTTATTGCTTCAAGATGTTTTAAAGCCTCTTTAAGTTCACCATCCTCACTTTGATGCTTTATCCGGGCACAGCGGAGTGATCCAGATAATTCCTAGACCCTTCGTGTAGCTTCACGGTATTATACAATTAGTTACCCAGTAACCTCAAGCGGTGAAATTGCACGCAGTGTAAATAACACATGCACACATACACACACACACAAACACACGCGCGCTCACAAAACCACGTGGCGGACACCCAGAGTTGAGGCGGGTTCATGTCCTTTGCCTGCTGCCCCATATGACTGATCTTTGAAATGTGAAGTGGTGAAGGTCTTGGGCGGGTTTTTTTTTTTAAATAAAGGAATAAAAGAAATGATGCAAAGGAGGGAAAAAGTTGGATTTGTGTCCGTGGCTAATTTCCAGTTTATTGAACAGTAATCACTGAAGATCTGCATGGATAACTTCAGGTGTGTATCTGCTGAGAAACCAGTTTAGTGATGACGGATGGAAGGAATCGTTTGCGTGGTAATGCTGGAGCATAGTAGGTGCTCAAAAATTATAGGTTTCTCACCAAGGACACGGGATGGTGTAATCTTGAAGCTTATAACCATGGGACTTTTTTGGGGGGTGTGTGGTTGTATCATGTTTGCATGTGGGATACAGACCCAAAGAAGAAGAGAAAAATAAGTCTTTTGGAGTGAAGTGTGATGTAGGATTTTAAGAAAAGAAGGGTTTGATGGGGAGAGAGAAGCAAGCCCTTCTAGCAGGTTAACTTATGAGCAGACCATGTTCAATGCCTGGTGGTAGGTAGCTGGAGGGAAATGAATACAAATGCGTGTGTGCAGTACACTGGCTCTGAGGAGCAGTGGCAAACCAGACCCCCTGAAGTCAACCTTGATGGCTCCTGCTCCTTCGCAGGACACTGTCAAAGAGGCTGGGATAAATGTCCCACTGGCCACACCTTAGCCACTAGCCTAACCCATCCTGTGGCCACAGTGGTTTTGCATCATCTTGCTTAGCTTCATCCAAGAGTGGGAAAGCCATGAGAGCAAGGGCTTTTTCTAAACTGCAGCCTTCCACATGAAGGTCCCTTCAATGACTTACCTTCCTTTAGGATGAAGTTCAGTAAGTCCGGTAACATGAAATCTCTCCACCTTAGCTTTTGGGGTGGCAGCTTTCCCCTGGCTGACAGCAGGCTGGTCTGGTTTAGGTTCCAGTGTCTGTCTGGATGATGCCCCTACACATTCTCTGAAGAGCTACTGTTGGTCCCAACCTTCTGCTTGGAAAGTAGGTATGTGACCTGCTTCTGGCCCTGGGGATGTGAGGGGAAGTGTGCTTGTGGTTTGTGGGAGATATTTTTCTTCCTCATTACAGGAAACTCACAAGACTCCTTTGGAAGATGTGATGTGAGGACAGTGATGCTTGGCTTCAGCAAGCCTTCTGGTAATCATGAGGAGAAAGCCAAGGCTCTGGATTTCCATGTTGATGTTTTAGTTCTCAGTTCAAATATGACCACTCGATTATGACTACTGAAGATATCTACTCTTCTCCATTCATTGCCTGTTCGTTGGCCTGTTTTGCTTTCTTTTTTATTTTTGAAACCTGTCATTAACTAAAATTACCTTGCTCAATTTTTAAAAAAATGTATTTATTACTGTTTTATCCTTTTGGGGATGTGAGCTCCTTAACAGTAGGGCCCTTCTCATTCACTCTGCTTTTCTAAGCTGAGCCGGAAGATGTTCCGTGCATGTTCATGGATTCATGGGTGACACTGAATGGCCACGAGATTAAGTACCATGTTGACATTGATAAGAGCAGGGGCACTCAGCCACTACAGTCCCTCACTCCCTCTTCTGTGCCATCGTGGACAATTATTCTAATGCAGAAGTCGATGTCTTTGGACTTCTCTCTCCCAGAGTATCAGTCAGAGCTTTTCTTTCTCCAGAAAAAGGCTGTTCTAGTTTGATGATGGCTGAAGGTTCAAAGGCATGAAAATACCACGTGATTATGAACAGCTATGGCTGTGTGCGTTTTAAAGTAAAGCTGGAAGTGCACCAAGGGTTCTCCTTCTCTAAAGCATCACAAAAGAAAGGGAGATTCTGGCATCTCTTCAAGTTCTTATATCATCCATCTGTCTATCTGTTCAGTTTAGAATTGCCAGGAAATACCAAGGTTGAATTAGATGACCAAGAGTTCTGATGAAGACTTAGACTTGGTGTAAATTCCCTACCCTGCCCTATCCCGGAGCTCAAGCATGTCCAGTACAGGGTGGATCGTTGTCCTGGATGGTGTTTGACTGGATCATGCAGCCCAAGGACAATGGCACAAAGATAGTTGAAATCTTAGAGTCTTTTTTTGTTGTTGTTTTTTTTTAATTTTAATTTTAATTTTTTGTGAACATACTGTACAGAGGGGTTACAATTACATGGGCAAGATAATGAGTACATTTCTTATCAAGC